CTGGAACTATGGAAGAATAAGCAAACTTCCCTTTTTGGACGCACTCTGATAATTAATAATGTGGTTCTAGCTTCAATTTGGCAGCGTCAACTATCATCCTTTTTATGGAGAGGAAATCATGAGCTTGATAAGGTTATTAGCAGGGTAGCATGGCAATCAGTGATACAACCTAAAACTAGGGGAGGGTTGGGAATCATTGATCCTTCTTTACAAGTTATGGCCTTATCAATCCAATGGATTAAACGGCTACTCTTTAACCCCCCAACTCCTTGGCGTGTGCTGGCATGGGAACAAATCAGACGTCTTACTCCGAAAACACCTGACAACATAGATCCAATGATGTGGCAAGAAAATAGATCTTGGACTATCCCTAGAGGGATGGGGAGCAAACCAATAGATCCAAGTACGTCAGAAAGAAAGGCGGCAAGAATGGATTTACATAAAGATTCGTTTTGGTCTAATCTTATCAAAACATGGAGGAAATTAGCTTTAACAGACCAAAACCCCCCTGGTAGATGGGAAGAGGTATTTCAACAGCCACTCTTTAATAACAGTCTTCTCAAAGATTTTCAAGGATGTGTCCTTCACTGTGAGGATTCCCCCTGGAAAGGATGGGTTGAAAATGGTATTGTTAGAATTAAAGACATTTGGAACAGTGATGAAAAAGAGTGGTTTACCCCTTCTCAGCTACAAGCCCACCTGAGGTATTGTCATCATACTGAGGAAGCTTTAGAGAATTTGATTGAATGGATGCCATTGGATTGGGTTAAAATTTTTAAAAAAGGTCCTCCGTTATTAGAAGGAGATTGGGTCACTCTGATTGATCAGTCTAACAACATAGGTAGTATAGTAGTAGCTAAGGAGAATGGGGAGATACTTCTCACGACCTATGAAATGCATAGTAATCAAATGGTTATAATAAAAGAACAGAATAATATAAAGAGAGTTACAAAAGATCAAGTATTCAGGATCAGAGTAGTGAGGATCAAGGATAAATGGATGACCTTTAAACCTAATACACCCATAAATTATCTGCCCTTTGATCCTGCTAATTGGAAGTGAACTAATTCAGGAAGGAAAGGCAGAACGTATCCTTGTGCTCTTCACACATTGTCAGTGAAATCCGCGTATAGGATGCTTCGACCAAAAACTTATTTAAAGGACAAAGTAGAGGAAAGATGGATGAAGCATTTAAATGTTAATAAGGAATTATTAAAAAAAGTAAAATGGTTCAGTAAAACCAAAATGAAACCGGCTAAAGTAGCTTCATTACAATGGTAAATAGAGCATAAATGTCTACCTACAAATGACTGGCTAATAGACAGGACGTCACTGGAACAAAGAGGGAAAGCGCTCCCCTGGTGTAAATTTTGTAAATCTGCGTTTCCTTCCAAATTGATCCCAAAAACAATCGAGCATATATTCTTACAGTGTCCTGGGGCAATCTGGCTATGGAGATGGTGGGATCGTATTTGGTCTAATTTGGAAACAGAAGTTCAGTGGCCGTGGGACTGGAGGACCATCCTTCTTGAAACCTGGTCCTTAGAAGGTATTGATGAATTTTCAGAAGACTTGTATCATTTGGGAAGGAGAGCGATAATATGGGCAATGGTTAAAAAGATGTACGTATGAAATGGAAGGGGTTAGGCTTGATGGCCCAGAATTCGCTGACGCGATAAAACAACAAGTACAAATGGATATCAATATAAAATGAGAACAAGTAAAAGAAAAAATACAATTTTTATCCTCACAAAAAGAGATCTTTCAACATATTCAACGTTTCAACCAATGCTGGCTAGGAGGAACCCAGGGAGGGAAGATGGGGAAGGTTGAATGGGAAGGGGCAAGGAGAAATGGAGAAGAAAATATGAGTCGGGACTATAAGCTTGTTTTCAATGATTGGACTATGATTGACTCAGCCATTCCGTTACGACCATTATCGGATTTTCCAGATCCCTTTCCCCCTTCGGCTCTAAGTCTAGTCTCAAGGGTTTGGTTTGGGTATGAATGAAGTTGAAAGGTAGATGGAGATGGTGTGAATGATTTCTCATGTTTTTAGGACAGATGAGAAGGGAGTCGTGCTAGAATGACATTGTTAGATATGGCGCCCTATTGGGGTGAAGAGGCACAACTCATCTCAACTCTATGATTCAGGCATACCATTCTTTTGTATCATTCATGTACTTATGGGACGCTGGACCCGGTTTCCAGCAGGTGTTGCTCCCCACCAATAAATGGAGCTTTTAT